TACTTGGAAAACCCCATCTCACTATATCGATGGGCCATTGTTAAGAACAAAATTATTGGCTCTAAAACTGGTGCATAAAAAGGTTTAAGGCTCACGTGCAAGCTCTGGAGACCAGAAAGAGCAAGAAGATGAGGTCTTCAGCATTCAAAGGGACGTGGAGCTATGATGAGGCTCATTTTAGGTAACCATATCTCTGTGTAGAAAACCAGACACATTGACAGGACTGCACTAACCTGCTTATCACTCTCTCATAGGTATTGAAGCATCATCCACCTTGACATCAGTATTCACAAAGAGAACCTAGAGCAATGTTGGGGAGTCTTTTAGAGACTGAGTGCCCAAACTGCAACCCAAAACCCACTTATTAATTGCAAAGTGCTGGCACTGAAATTAAACCTGAATACTGAGGTATTAGGTTAGAAAAACAACTCATTCACTTGGCTCTTGTACCAGCAGAGAGGTCTTTGCATGCCCGCTGCAGCATGCATGGCATACATAGATTCACCACCACTGACCTAGAGCAAGGCAAGTATCCTAAGAGATATCAGTGTCCACTTAGATCACCTCCCCAACAAAAGGCCCTGGTACACTCTCAAATTTCTCAGCTCCAATGACACTTTTCATCCTACTGGGGCTACCAACTGCCATAGCTACATTGCAGGTCTCTTCAGCTCACCCTGCTCCATCTCAGAATCTACAATCCCTGTTTAACTGTTCCTCTTCCTGAAACTAATTGAGACTGTCAACCATCAATTTTCACCTTATCTATTATCCTTCTCTTTCCTTGTCTTCATTTTTCTATGCATCTCAGATTACTCCCTTATTATTTTTCTTGGATTTCAAGGTTCAACTTCTTAACAGTATTTTCACCAATACCCTTTCATGCTCTATTTCCCTTTTTAACTATTCATTCTCCTAATAGCTTAGTCTTTCTGAAACCCAAGCCAGGAAGACTCCTGTATTTCTATCCTCTCATAAGCCCTCTTGAGGCAATGCTTGAATGAAGCAAAATAAGAGAAATGCCTAAACAGGAAAACACAAGTTGGTTAATATGTCAAAAAGAAAATCTGGCCACATGAATTATTTCAAACAAGATTTTAAAAATTAAATTTCCAATTACTGCAAAAAACGTCAGTATTCTACTAAGTATGTAATTGTGGTCTTATTTCCTCATCCTGACCCCAGCCAGGAACAGCCTGAAAGAAAGTTTCCAGTGGGTAAGATAATAGAATCCATCCAACTTTTGATATTTATTTCTCAAGTTGGGAAACTTAATTCCCATCACCAAGGAAATGTAGACAGCCTAGACTTCATGCCTGCTGTACAAACTTCTTAGCCTCCTGCCATCTGTGGCTTGTTTTTATTGTAAGGTTTCCCTAGATAATTGTTTACTTTTCTCTAATTTTATTTGAAAAAGGATGGCAAGGATGTCAGGTTTTGCATGCTTATGAGGTTGAGGTAGAGAAAGAAACAGAGAGAGGGGGAGAGACCGAGAGAGGCTCCTGACACCTAGCCTCCCTCAGGACAAATGTTTTTATAGCTCCCTGTAGCAGCTGCAACTACAGACATGACCATGATGTGAGTGATGATGCTGAACAAACCTGACATTCATCCTCTATTGAGCTTTGGAAAGAACATTAATTTCTAAGCATAAGTAGCTTTTCTCTAGAAGTTCATAAGAAACAATTATTATCTTCCAGGACAGACAAAGAAATGACAGTAAAATCCTAAATTTCCTTCAAGAATCATCAGCAAATCCCAAATCATGACTCCAAATTCCTTTTCACTTTTTCACCAGATGATCAGATCCATGCACACTTGCTGACCATCAGCAGTAGATACTGTCCTGTGACAAAGGTAGTACACAGCTGGCCACTTATAAAAAGTCTACAACTTTCTCTATTTCAAAGTCTGCTCTCTTCCTCCTTTCTCTCCCTGTACCAAATCTGCCATTCTTCAGGGCCTGGGAGGTTTAACATAACTACATGGCTCTGTCATTGTGTATGATCTGTCATTTGCCAACATGGACCCACAGAGGCTCACCACTGTATCTGTATGAGAAATCACAGCAATTCATTTAGACACTGCTGTTCCTTCCAGGCAAATGTGGGATAGTGTAGTTGGCCCATTAACAGTACAGCTGCATAGAGGATTAGACACATTATGCTGTGCCGCCTGGTTAAAGCATCCACAAGCCACTTACAGAATTAGAGGCTGTCATTGCCACAATAATCTTGGGCATTATTTACAATCACTCCCAACACAGACAACACAATCTTAGTGTTCTGTGTAGACTGGGTGGCTGAAAATATCTCAAATTAACTTGGGAGATGTTTAGATATAATATAAAGCCATAGAATAAAAAAAAAATTAGAGTCTAGTTGTAAGGACTCTCCATTTAAAGTGAAAAAAAAAAAGAAAGAAAGAAAAGAAAAAGAAAATGATGGCCTTCATTAGCTCTCCCAAGAAAATAAACTAATAACTTCCTCAAATAACCCAGGGTTTCATAAGTACAAGGCTTTTGATTGGTTACGGTGTTTCCCGAAATCCTTCAGAGAGAAAAGACTTTTATGCAGCATTCAACATCATGACACATGCTATTAGGCTTTGTATTTTAATTTTTCCTGAGAAATACATTCTCCTTTTATACAAATATCTCACAGATACCTTTGTATACATGTTTTAATAATTTCAAAATAACTGCAGAGCCTTCTATTTTTACTACACATCTTAAATGTAAAAAAGAAATGCTTTAAACACCAAGATTGAGTCTGATTCCAACCCCTTACTGAGGCTACATTCTTTGGTCCTCTCAGAGATGTGTAAAGCATGACATGGAGGAGCTTCAAGTGCAAAAGTCACTAATAGCAGCTGAAAGAGTTAGGCCAAAGATACCAAGATACAAAGATACTAAGTACCTTGTCCCAGGGTTAAGGCGGCAAGATGACATCTTTCTAAGTTTGGAGCAAAATGAGATACAGTATAGGAGTTAGAGAAATGGAGGGGAAAATTTCAGCCTTGTTACTGGTAGAACACATTGCAGAATTCTTCTCAAACAAGTCACTCCAATTGGGTTTGCTAATCCTTCCCTGAAGTGACAGATTCTCTCCTGTTGTCACAGAACATCACAGGCAGCCCTTCACAGCCACAGGATGCTACCACAAAGAAGGATAGGGAGTCATTTATCTTGCCCACAGCTTAGCTCATGGTTTCTGAGTGGTTCTACACATCAGAACCACCCAAGAAAGCTAAAAGCCCTCAGTGCCAAGAACTCAACCCTCTGGAATTGGGGCCTCAGCATAGCATTGTCTAAAAGCTTACTAAGTAATGATGGTGTACATTGAGCGTTTATATCACCAGATTTACCCAGAGGGGACAAAGAGGAAGAAACTGAAGGACACACTTTCAGTTCCTTCTCTTAATACCACTAATCACAGGAGTTGTTTCTCTTTCCAAGGAGTTGAGTGAATAAAGGAAGGGCCTAGCCACCCTCTAAGTCTATGCTTGCAGAGATGAGGACACTTTGGATTGTGTAGACTAGCTAAGCAGAAACCCATCCACCACACCTGGTCACATCGTAGAGCCTCTCTTTCTGTTCTTCTACTCTTGGCATCTAGAAGGAAGTGCTTGCATGGTGACTGGCCTCTAATAATCAGGTCTTATATATCAGAGTAGAGGCACAAACCCTCTCAATTCTTCATTTCAGGCTGTCTCACTAGGAAGCAAATTGTCCTAGCCTGTCTTTGCACAGACATTTATGAACTGCAGAGAGCTAAGATTTAATTCTCCATTCCCTACATCCCTCTGGCAACTGGATCTCAAATCTGGGAAGCCAGTCAACACATCAGGAATCCACCAAACCAAATCATTTTGCTTCTCCACAGCAGGCTGACCAGTAACCATCAAGAATTCATTACCACTCTAGTTTGTTTACATTCACTAGGAATAGACAGTGCTCTGCATTACTTGGAGATATCTCTTTCCCTTTAAATTAGTTCCAAGCTATGCCTCAAATCAATAGGCCAGCTACAGGAGATTCTTCTTTCTTTCTTTCTTTTTCTTCTTCAATCAAGGGGATATATAGGCACCTCCCTTTACAGAACATATCCCATCAGATACAAACTCTAAAGATAATAATTTAAGAAATCAATCCCCCTTTATATTTATTTGCAAAGATATTTTCATTTCACTTTTGCTTGATTTCCCATTATCAGTATCACCTATCTCTTTGCCTTAAAATATATCTGTCCTCCCTCTCTGTCCTGTGGATTACTTATAGGTAATGATGCAAGGAGATGCTTTAACCCTCTAAAGAAAATGACTGCTTAAAGGAAGTTTAAATAAAATTTTTAACTTGAAGGGAAAACCACTTTTCAGTATAAGTATAGTGGCAATGTTGATTTCATTTTGTATTTCATTCTGTCTTGTGCATATTAATCAGGCAGCACCTAACAATTTAGCATGTAGTTCAAGCAACAAAGCCAGGATGATGCTTGACCCTTCACTTCAAACACAAAGCCAACCCGAACTTAACATTGTGTCAAAGGAGCCAGGACTAAGGGAACAAAAAATTAAGAAAACTAAGAACGGTGTTTTTATCCTCAGTCTAAAGGGATATTTCAGAACGAATGAGGTTGTAAGTCAGTCTATGTCTACATCTTCTTGCGGATGCAATATATAACGAAATGCTCAGCTCTATCCTCCAGGCTGGAAAAGTTTAAACAGGCTCTAGATACAAATTGGCAGCTGGATGAATTGGTGTGAAACTCAACCAAAGGCTCAGTGCAAATGAGGAAAACAGAGAAGCAGCAAATACTTTGTGCTGAATGATGACCCTGTGACATGATCTGTGGCAGAAGTCAGAAGTGAGAAGGGGCTGGTTTGCAGAAATAAAAGAATTTCTTTCTTTCATTTTTTCCTCATAAAGTTTTAATTCTACTTCTGTTCATGATTGTCGAATTTTAATTAGAATGATTTTAATATTTCTATTTTGCCTCTAGACCTTAAAAATATTCCAAATGCAAAAAAAAAAAAAAAAAAAAAAAGACTACAGAACTTCCTGCCTTACTTATCACACCAATTTTATTGGACTGGCCATACTCTCTGGATAGGACACAAGGAACATAGAGCTCAGTGGTAAGAAATTGAATTTTTCTTTTCAGAGACTTTTCTTTCCCCTTTGAAATGAAAGTATTCATATCAAGATGCAACTGTAACAAATCAGATATTCAAAAATATTCATTCCACCATTCGTTAATGTGTATCCACTGAATGCCAAGAACTATGTGTTCACAGGGTACTACCTTCATTAGAGAAACCCCAGGCATTCAGACAATATTAAGCCAATCTGCCCCATTAGGAAATAGTCCTCCCAGGAACAATTTATATCTTATTCATCTCTTCATTTCCTGCACAGGGATTAGCACACATTAGCTACTAAATAAATACTTTAGACCTCATCTAGACAGTGAGTTTTAATGCTATCAACTATTTTATGTAGAAAAGTCAATGTATTAGTCAAGATTATCCAGAGAAAAAGATCCAATTAGCTATACATAGAGAGACAGATGACAGATCCATGGATGTGTGAATGGGGAGGGGGGAAACAATAGTAAAGGAAACTTGAGGAATTGGCTTATATGCTGATGCAGGCTGAGAAGTTCCACAGTCCCTCATCTGGATGATGGAGATGATTCAGGGAAGCTGGTGGCATGGCTCAGTTCATCCAAAGGCCTGAGAGAAAAAGGGGAGAAAATGGTGCTAGTCCTAGAAAACAAAGGTCAGAGAACCCAGAGTTGTAATGTTCAAGGGAAGGGAAGAGAGAGGAAAGAAGGGAAGAAGACAAAAGAGAGGGAGAGGGAGGGAGGAAGAGGGGCAAGGAGAGGAAAGGAGGTAAGGAGAGAAAGAGAGGGTCACAAAGATCAGCTATAGG